TTTTTTTGTCTTTTAAGCGTTTTTATCCAATATTAGTTAATTGGCATGAGTGTAATAATTAAACACCTTAATCAATTAAATTATTTAGCAGAATATATATGATATGATTTATACTAGTATTCATTCTGTGCACATACATAGAAAAAATTATGTATTATATGTATGCATACAATTATTAGATAATGGATGTATTACATTTTAATGGATAATATAATTCAGTAATCTAGAGGAACTATACATTTAATTTGTTAGAAAAGTATTACAATTATTTTTATCATATAAAATTGTCTAAATGATTTTAAGGTGTTTAATTATTACACTCATGCCAATTAACTAGTATTAGATAAAAATCGGTTAAAAAGACAAAAAATAATTTATTTTAGAAGAAGTATTTTAAAGAAAAAAAAAATTGAATACAATTTATGCTTCCACATACTATTTAATGTAAATTATAATCAATTAGTGTTACTATGTTAGTAATATTATAGCAATTGTCTAAATAATTTTAAAGTGTTTAATTATTACACTCATGCCAATTATAATATTAGATAAAAATCGCTTAAAAAAACAAAAAAATATTTTATTTTAGAAAAAGTATTTAAAAGAAAAAATTGCAATACAATTTTTTATAAGTATGTAACTTCCACATACTATTTACTGTAAAATTTTAATCAATTAGTATTAGTAATATTATATCATAAATTAGTTTAAAATTATTATTACACTTTATTAATGTAAAATGTAACGTTTCTACATTAATTGAAAAATAAATATGTTTTAATTAATGTGACTGCAAAAAATTATATATATATATATAGAATTACATATAATATATATATTAAATGTAATGAATTACATTTGACTATGCAATCTTCATAAAACCAGTACAAATCATATCATATATATAATATTTTTAATTGATTTATTTACGCCCATATAGAATCATAATATAATTTCTGCAATAGACGATGTACAAAAGACCAAATAAATAATTTTGTGTACAACGATGTTTTTAATTATATATAAGTTATATTTTGTTATATTCCAAAACATGTATTTTAAGTTATTCCAATTATCCAATCATCCAAATCTAAGGAGCCTGTATTCAATTGAGATTTTTAAGGACTTTTTAAAACTTTTTAAATTTGTTGATTTTTGTGGACTTTGTAAAACTTTCATGACTTTGGTGGACTTTACGAGACATTCAGAGAATTTTCATTAGTGACTTTTTAAGACTTTCATAATGGACTTTTTAAAACTTATTGAGACTTTTATATACTTGTAGTTATAATATTATGTTTGAATAAAATATTAATAAACGTAACATAATAACTAATATAAAAAAGAATAAATGAAAAAAAGATGTTGTATTATTCCTCTAAAAATTTATGAATAAACTCATTTTTATGCGAAATGAGTTATTCACCAACAAACTGTTTGGGATTTTAGATTTATTAAATGAGTAAATCGATCCGAACTTTAACGAGTCGAACTCGAGCAGGACCTTATATTTGTTTGCTAAAAGATCACAAGCTCAAATATGTGTTAGACATATCTGCTACAATGACACCTATAATCAACCCAAATTAAGATATATTTATCTAATTATTGATTGATTTTATTTTTTATATTTTTTTGCATAATGTTGTTATATTAGAAAAAATATTATTAGGATATATTTTTACAAGATACAAATATTGCCGAAAAACAGCAATTGTGTCTTATAAAGTTATCAATAATATTCAAAATATTTCAATATTAACAAATAAACCATTTGTAAATAAAATATTTTTTTTAATATTTTAAAATAAACATTTACAAATAAAAAGAGAGAACAAATAAATTATTTGCAAATGCAACTATGGAAGCATTTAACCTTTGAAAAAGTCAAATTTACAAGATAACAAAATGAGAGAATAAAGATATACACAGATAAATAAGCATAATAAAGAATATATAAAATAAAAAGATCACATTAATATATGTAATGAAAATAAAAATTACACAAGGTATCAAAATAAATAAGTTAAATAATAGAGCATGAAAATATATGAGATACAAAGTCGTGTTAGAAAGCAAAAAATAAAGAGTGTGAAAAAGTCACATAAGTCCAGCAAAATCTCATCAATATTGATGAGATTTCTGTTGAGACTTTTCCTTTGTAATTTTGTTACAAAAGTCTCTAAAAGTCTTACAATTTAAAAAGTCACATAAAGTCTTCTGTTTTGAATACCTGGTGACTTATAGAGACTTTCAGAATGTTTTAATTGAATACCCTGAGACTTTTGGAGACTTATTAAAAAAAGTCTTTAAAAATCTCAATTGAATACATGTAAATTTTTCAGAAGTCTCTAAAAGTTCTAATTGAATACACCAGAATTCTGAAAGTCTTAAACAATCTCTAAAAGTTAAAATTGAATACACCCAAATATTTACTTTAATAAAACTAGTCTATACTTATATAAAGAGGCATCATATTTACTAAAATTAGTAGCAAAAAAATAGGTCAGCATTTAATGCAAGCTATAAATAGTAGTTTATTATTTTTCTTATTTTTTTCTTTAAAAATCATACAAATTAATTTAATAAATACGCTCTAATATAATCGTACAATTTAATTTATAAAAATCATACAATTTAATTTTTTTCTTTAAAGATACGCTTTAATATACATACATACACACACACACACACACACACACACATATATATATATATATATATATAGTATTTATTGTAATAAATTTGAATAAATTGTGTTACTTAAATATCTAAACAATTTAGAAATTCAAATATTTAAATTTATTGATAAACAATTTATGAATCTCTATTTATTTAAATATGTAATTTTATTTAAAGTAGTTTTAAATATAGCCAAATTTATTTAGAAAATCGTATTGATCCTATCAGTTCAATCGACTGGTGTTGACGGATTTAATAGCAAATATTTTATTCAAGTGAACTAGACTGATTATAAATCGGTTATCGGTCCATCCGGTCAGACTGTGTCCAACACGATTTAATTTAAAAACGATGGGTAAATCTTGATTAATTTATTTGTATATATAATTTATAACACAATCATAATATTGTTTTCCCGTGCATCGCACGGGCCATGCACTAGTTTGTGAATTATACGGTACTCGTAAATGTCATTATTAATAGTAATATTGTCCAAAACCTTTTTGTGTTTATTTTATTTTATTTTTAATATTGTCCAACAGACTTCACCCTTTTCCGTCGGCGGCGGACGCCCCCGTGAAAAGACCCACCCAAAAATGTCGGCCATCTCAACGCCGCGGCACCTCCGCTCGCCCACCCTCAAAACGCCCCACAAAAACCCCATTTCGATTCAGCTCAGGAACAAGATTCAGTGCGAGCTCAGGAACACTCCTTACCCTCCCCAGAAGTGGACCGTTGACTGCGTCTCCTCCACCGACCCCATTCACATCATCCTCAAACCCCCAAGCTCGACGTCGATGGCCGCCGCGCTCGATCCCTCGGTCAAGAACGCGAAAATGGTCTCTCTCTTCTACTGCTCCGAGATGAAGGATCTCGCCCACAGGATCGCCTCTGAGTCAGACGCCATTGAGCTTCGCAGCATCAGCTGGGGGTAATTTGTTTTTCACTGTTCAATTCCACTTTCCTCATGTATTTTTGTTGTTCTTAGCTTGTGCTAAGAAGCATTAGCTGGGGGTACTTTTGTGTTTCCACTGTTGAAATCATTTTTTCTCTTGTCTTTGTGTTGGGAAATTGGGTATGTTTCTGTTGGGTTAAGCATGTTTATTATCGTGTGTTGATGATATATACTGGGATTCAATAGTAGGAAAATGATCTTGTTCGATGAGCCAATTGTTTGATGGTTCGAATTAATTTAGGACATTTGAGGATGGGTTTCCCCAGCTGTTCATATCCAATGCTCAAGGTGTTCGAGGACAGCATGTGGCTTTCCTAGCTTCATTCAGCTCACCTGGGGTTATATTCGAGCAGTTGTCGGTTATATATGCCCTGCCAAAGCTCTTTGTAGCATCTTTCACGCTTGTACTGCCGTTTTTCCCGACAGGCACATCCGAACGTATGGAGGATGAAGGGGACGTTGCCACAGCATTCACGCTTGCGAGGATCTTGTCCAACATCCCGATCAGTAGAGGCGGGCCCACAAGCTTAGTAATTTTTGATATCCATGCTTTGCAGGTGAGTATACCTGTGTATGTGGTGATGAGTCTGTTGTTGCTTCACAGTGTTCGTTTTTCGGCTGTCTTTTGTTTATTTGTTTATTTTAGTATAATTGTTGCAGTTTTTTTGTGCATTGTGCAGGAGAGATTTTACTTTGGTGATAATATTTTGCCGTGCTTCGAGAGTGGTATACCGATGCTCTTGAATAGGCTGCAACAGCTTCCTGATTCTGATAATGTAATGTATTCTTCTTCTTTTTTTGTGTGGATCAAACCGATTTCTGTATCAATTTCTTCTGAATATATCCTATGCTGTAATTTCTAATGCATGTATTTTTTTTCCTTTGGTGTGCGATTTGAAAATTAGATCTCGAAAGAAATCTTATTTACTGCCTCAGTGACAATTTAATTTTTAAAAGTTTATGTTCCATTCTCCTTCTCCCCATATTTCTGCGGTGCAGCTGAATTGATTTAGTTAACTATATAGACAATGTGAACCATGTGTCCGCCTAGACAACATGTGATATTATGTATTATTATTCAAAAACATTCAAATTCTATTTTCCTCTGTCTAGATAACAATAGCCTTCCCAGATGATGGTGCATGGAAAAGGTTCCACAAGCAGCTACAGCACTTCCCGATGGTATTTCTCTTAGATTGCTCAGCACTGATCAATTATCCATATATTTGATCGTAAATATTTTAACAATCATGCTGCTACATGTGCTTTGGCTTGGTGCAAAGACCAATGCATGATCTGTAATATTTGTATTTTGCACCAAGATTATCATGCAAATGAATTTGCGTAACTTTCTTGATTTTATCGGTAGGTTGTTTGTGCCAAAGTTAGGGAAGGTGATCAAAGAATCGTGAGGATTAAGGAGGGTGACCCAATGGGACGTCATGTTGTGATAGTTGATGACCTTGTCCAGTCGGGTGGAACTCTAGCCGAGTGTCAGGTAAGAAAAAAAAAATCAGAGTTTGTGCCGAAGTTGAATATTTCAGTATAGGAGAAAACAAAAAGGAGAAGAAGTTTTTTAGGATAGTGAAGGGAGGAATATACATCATTCGATAATCTTATTGGTTACTCAGCAATTGTGAAAGGTGTGCTTTGTACAGTAGCTAGATCTATAACTTAATGTATTGGTACTGGTCAAGAAGAGAGCATAGATTTCCATTTTTGCAAGAGTAATGTCATTGTCAATATTTACAGAATTCTATTGCAATCTTCAATTTTTTGTTTTTACATATCGAGATGCCTCTCTACTCGGGTTTTCTTTTTTTTCCAGAAAGTGTTGGCAAAACATGGAGCTGCAAAGATAAGTGCTTACGTGACTCACGGAATATTTCCCAATAAGTCTTGGGAGCGGTTTAAACACGATGAAGGAGGTACTCGCTTGCTAAAAACTCCCACTTATATGGAAGTCAGTGTTGTGGTCCGTAGCTTAAGGCTATGTTTCGTAAACCTCGCTGATAAGCTAGCTAAGTTGATAAACTAACTTATAGTTTTTAAGTGAATTTCGAGCTTATAGCTGATAGCTTATGACCTGAGGCTGAAAAACTAGCTTATATGAAAAGTATTTGGTAAAATTAGCTGAAATAAAAATTTGAATGGACTTTTGAAAAGTTACCCAAGAAAACATATGAGATAAGCTCGAGTTGTATAAAAAAGTTCGTCCTATCAAACCAAACTTATTTGAATACAGGAAACTTATTAGCTAATCAAATAAGCTATAAGCTAGCTTATATGCTTACCAAACACAACCGAAATCCCAGTTGCCATTAAAAGCCTTTTGGTAATGCAAAATATGGTGTCCTTTGCGTTCATTTAAATGGATGGGCAGCTCTACATTGCCTCTAATATGCTGAACTGAACAGTATTTTTTTTTTTCTTCTGTATTAAAGCTAGACTTTGCCACAATACATAATCGTGAGCGTTTAGATAAGTTTTCACCTTCCTCATCCTTGGAACAAATGGCTTACAAAAGATCTGTCTTTTTGGTTGCTCGATTTGAAATGGCTGCAAAGATTGTTATAAATTGATAATTGTTAATATTTGCCTTTTTACCAAATCACGATGGTTTTAACTTTTATCTTAGGGAATCCTGAGACTGGAATGAGTTACTTTTGGATAACGGATTCATGCCCGGAGACCGTGAAGCAGGTTAAACACAAGCGGCCGTTTGAGGTTATAAGTCTTGCTGCTGCCATAGCATCTACACTACAGATTTAAGTTTTTTTT